CTGGGTGGAAATCTGCTGCAGAGAATGGGAGCGTTATGAGAGAAATAGCTTAATCAAAATTTGGAAACTTAAGACATAGTCCCAGCAGAATTAGCTTATTGAGCAGCCACAGTTCATCTACCTCAAAGTTTGGCAGGTGAGAAAATTAAAGATATAAACTACACACAGGTGTATTCCATATATCTATGTCTGCATGTATGAGAGAGGGAGAGTGTAAGTGTATGCAACAAACTCGGCGTGTTTTGCATAACAGCTATATAGTATGGCACATAATACATATATTCATGCACTCAGGCAGACCTTCATTTGGCAATAATTAGTATTGTTCCATTGACAACAGCAAGGGTCTGGACTCCTCTATTTTTATACGTGCATGTGTATGTATGTACATGTATGTGTCCATGCATCTGTGTGTGCATGTCAGTAAAACTTCTATCAGTGTGTGTGTGTGCATATGTGTAATATCACATGCATGTTCATGCCTCTCTTGCTAAATAGTAACCCAGGTACAGCATTGTTAACAGACTGTGTTCCAGCTCTCTGTTGAAGCCTGTTATGTTGTCCCTAGGCTGTAAATTCTTCATATTTCAATAGGAGCTGACAAAAACATATGCAGCATCCAAAAGCAATGATGGAGTTAACTGAACGGGGCTGTCCAATAGCTTTTATAGCAGGAGCAGTTCAGGACTGTGATGATTTTACTTTGACCATTTTTTTTTATTCAAAGACAATTCCACAAATGAGCTTCTGCTTGATTAGAGTTTTAATGAATATATCTGGATATACCACAAGTCCACCAGCCGTGACTGGAGAGCCACAGGCTATGCTCTCCAGATGCCGCCTTTGTGCTGTCAGTTCGGGGTGTTAATGTCAGATACACCATGGGAGAGCAAGAAGGGGAATATTCAAGACTGAAGCTTCCTGTGAGACTGTGATTTCCTCAGACTGAGCTCTCCAGCTTCTAGCCAGGCACTGAAAAGTCCAGATGGACAATGAAATGCATTGGGCCACATTCCTAACTGACTTATACCCTGTACCACTCTGGGGAAGCCACGGGTATAACATCAGCAAGGAATTTGATTCTGCATGAAGACCTGGATCACAGACTCTACAGAGGCCCCGTGCTAGAGGAACTTGGCACTTCTAAGAGCTGCATGGCAGATTAATTAGCTACTCTTTGTTAGATACATTGCAGATAAAAAAGGCAGTGTGCCTGCTAAATATTACTGTAATCACTTTGGACAGAGAAATCCTGACGGAGGTATTGTAGTGAGTGCTGCTGGCTGCTCCTGGCCTGATCCCTTGGAGGTGACAGCGCACAAGAAGGTTTATGGCAGCAAGGAATGATTTTCCATAGTAAATTATATTTAACATTCCACAGAACTTTATTGCATTTTGTGTTAGGGTTTATGAAAAAATCTGTATTTAACTTCAAGCCCTGGTAAACATCTTTGCTTATGTTGTTATGTGATTCCTTATTTGAGTATTTCGATTTAATTTCACAGTTCATATACCTTAAAGTTTTGATTTTTTTTCTCTTTCCCCCACTCATTCAGAGAGACAGGACTGGCCAGGGGCTTCTCTCTCCCTCTCTCTCTCTCACTCACACTCTTTATGCCCTCTCGCTGCACAGAGCTGGATGGGTGAGAAGATAGTTGAGGGCATTTTCCCTTCCTCGTCTGCTCCCCTCCTTGCCCCACAATGCCCTCTCCAGATGCACGGGGCAGCACAGCTCCTGTGTTCAGATCACTGTGCTCTCTCACTAGCCCCAGAGATTCCTTCCTGTTTGAGAGCAGGGGGAGATGAAAAAGCCCCCACCTCCAATAATCACTCCCAGGAAAGCCTGAGGAATTCCCAGGATAATAAAGATTCATAAGAGAAATCTAGGGTGTTCATCCCAAACCTTATTGAAATCATTTCCATTGGCTTCAGTAGGTTTTGACCCGGGCCCTGAGTAAGGGGCTATAACAGTACAGTGTGCACTGCACACATCACACCCTTATCCCCTGCTATGTCCCACGTTTGGTAGATTGAAAGGCTCAACAGGAGAGAGAGTCATTTTTATAAAGGGTGCAGAGAGCCCTGGCTATTACTTGGGGAACTTGCACATGGAAACCCAGAATGACCCAGTAAGGCCAGGAAAGAGCCAGGATAACACCGTGGGAATCAGGGGCCTAAGTCTCTTATGTCCTTCTGAAAATGGTACCTGCATTTTTTTATAATGTAACAATAATGAAAAGACAGGCACAGTAGCTATATCATAGGATGGAGGCAGATCCCACCCTGCAAAACAGGATAGCTGAGATGGAGAATTGCATGGTGTTGATTAACAGTTCACATCCCTGTGTGATGCTGAACTAGATCCAGGGTACCCACAAAACCTTCCTCCGAGTCAATGTTTTGCAGGGGAGGAAGGATAATGCAGTGGTCAGGGCACTCAGGGCTTGGTATATATGGATTCAGTTCTTTGGTGCACCAGACACCTTCCATGTGACCATGGGCAAATCATAGATGGGGATAATGGGAATAATAGCACTGCCCTACCAGGTCTACCCCATGGGGATGGTGTGAGAAAACATCCAGGAAGGGTCCAGGAACTACTTGGATACTGCAGTGATGGGAGCACCTATGATAGCTACAGACTGCACTTGATTGACTCTCTGCCTGCTTGTGAGGTAGGCAGGTATTTTTTCCAATCTTCCCAAGTCAAGTAATCTGCTGAGGTTCACACAACAGGTCAGGAGCAAAGCTGGGAACATATCCCAGACATCCCAGGCTCCAGTTCAAGCCGCCAGAATGCATTCCCTCCTAATAGCAAATCCCTACTGCTAGGGCCCTGCCACCAGCTAGCATTAGCCCCTTTGAGTGTTGCACACATGGCTGGTTCTTTGGTGCATCATTTGTTTTAAACAGATGCAGTGCGGTTCAGCATGAATTTGTAAGGACACCTGGTGCTAGATTTGTCGACAAGATACTGTCTGTCCATGAGGGCACTGAGCGGGTAACACGATTGCTCTGTCAGGCCTTAAAATCCAGCGTCTCACTGCAAGGCCCTTCTGATTCCGTTCGCTGTATGTACACACAGACAGGCAGTCGCCCTTATCTCTATTTATCTAAATTCTCACATTGCGCTCGTTATGATGATGCCCAGAAGAATGGAGCTGAGCGGTGTAATGAACCCACTGGAGCAGAGGAATCTCTCACAGCCTTTGAACCTAGCAAGGCTCACCCACTTTAAGCAGGGCTTTGGCTTTCTTGTAATATAGCTTTTAAATCTCCATTTTGGGTAGGGAAGGAATTGCCAAAGGACTTTCTGAGTCATGAAATGGGGTTTAGGAGCTATGGTTCTCTTCCTGCAGTGAGTTGGGCAGGCAGTTCTATCCACATCCAGGTGATTCCTGTTGGTTCAATGTCTTAGGCAAGCTGGGCTAGTAGAGGGCAATTGCAGCTGTGCTAGTAGCATTGGCAACCCCAGATGTTCAGCAAACACTGAGCTCCCCCTGTAACCACCTGACTCCAGGAGTCGGGGCTTTGAGAAACATACGGTAACTCTTGCAAATTGGCAATGCTGTACTGGCCCTTGTCCATATATCCTACTCACTGCACTTCCATGTCAGAGCCGGTGGCAGGCTTTGTGTTTCTCCAAGGTCAAGAACAATCCAGATACTGCTAGTGCTGAAACTATCCTCCCCTGTGTGAGCAAAGAGCCTATGGCCTTCCCCCAGTCCATGGTGTACAGCTGAACTGGACCTGCATAGGGGGTATATAAGGATCTATGATAGACACGCACTTCATTCATTCATTCCCACTCGTTCAGAGAGACAGGACTGGCCCAGGGGCTTCATCGATGAAGGAGTCAAATATTATTCCCAGTTTTACTGATTAAACTGAGAGGAAGGAATTTGCTGCATTTCTTCCACGAGTTTATTCCCTAACTCCTTCAGAGTTAGGAAATACATAGTGATTTATACATAGAGTTAGGAAATACATAGGGATTCACTGTTTAGAGGCAGTGAAAAGGTGTCCCCTGCATATGCCCCGAAGTGCAATATCTAGCTCTTGTCTGTCGGTTTCCTCCTGTGGAATTTTGCATCCCGTTTCTAATCCAGAACACAATGACATTTTAGTAGCTAATATGACTGAGCATGTTGACTATTTTCTTGTACTTTATAGCCCTGGGTTTCAGCTGTCTAATATTTCTTGACTCGAAGGACATTTTTTTGAAGATTTCATCTGTCTATTTACATTCTATTTTTGTGAGGGGTTGGCACCAGGAGTCAGTAAAAATTTATTGGTGAATTAGCCTTTGTGTTGAAAATATATTATGGGGGGGAACCCTTCCAATGAGTGATATGATGAATGACCTTGATCATACACCTTCAGCTACACAAATAGGATGTACTATTTTGAAATATTTGACCTAATGATTTTTTTTTGTCATAATTACGTTTCTGAAAAATACTGAAAAATTGCTACTTACACTATACCCCGCTGGGTTCTCGGAATAATCAGCATTACATATCAGAGGTCTTTCCCCACAAATACGTTTGTTGTTCTGCTACCCAGATTCATTTTCTTTGGATGCACCAGACAGTAAGTTTTAGACTTGAATATGAAAATCCTTTCCTGGAATGTCAAAGGTCTCAATAAATCTGGCAAAAGGAAAACATTTATATTATTCTTGAACAAAATCAATACTGACATAGCTCTCATTCAGGAAACACCTTTCTCTTAAGTGATGGTGAAGCTACATTCAAAAAGAGTGAAAGAAATTATAACTCCCCTACCCCTCTGAATAAAGGGTCATGATCTACTGTTCATCTTGGTACAAAATTCCTATTGACAACAATTTCACTTATTTATTGATTGAGTTTCTTTTTAATGTACTCAGTGCCATAGCAACTGGGTGCCTTCCATAAATTAAATGCGACATTGCATTAAGTTAAACTTCTCACAATGGGTAATATATGTGTGCCTGTGTGTGTGCAAGTGTGCACGCGCACACACACACACTCTGCCACCACCACTTCCTGAACTGCTCCAAACAACTATAAACATGAGTGATTACTGCCCTTCAGAATTCATTGCGTGTATTTGCTTGACTTTGGATAAGATACAAATGAGCAGAGGCTCAAATTTACATGTGTACACATGCTCCTATGTATGTGTATATAATACAGCCAGAAGGATAAGGATAACATTAGCCGTGATATTTCATAACCTGGGTACACAAGGCTAGGCCCTGATATTGTGTTCTCTGAAGACGCACTTTATTTGACACTAGTGAGTAATGCTATGGGTTTCAATGAGAATACTCACAGGGGTAAGTCAGGCATATGCACAGAGGAATCAGGCTCTGTAGTTACAGAGAAACTAACTTTAGTCTTCGTAGATGTCATTCATATGAGTGACATCATTGCTCCATGGTAACTAATATATTTCAGATTAGATAAATATGTGGCATGAAAAATAGATTAGTTTTATATAGATTGATTATTCCATTTTATAAATAGATGGAACATTTTATTTCTACTTGCACTCCCAGCCAATAAGAACATAATTATATATATTCAAAATACTTTTATGTAAATATTTGATTAAGATGCTCTAGTTTATTTTCCACATTCACCCCAAACCACAGCAATACAGACTTCACAATAGGCAGCCAAAGAGTAGACTAACTTTGGACTACCTGACAAAGACCCAGAGTTAGAGGGGGCTCTGAAAGCTTTTTTTTTTTTTTTTTTAGCTCTCCCTCACAGGTAGGTAGTAGATCACAATCTGAATATGGAGGCCTCATTTAGTAAAGTGATGCCCTGAAAAGGCAGAATGTGAATTTCTTGCACAATGATCCCGTGTTATTGAATAGACAGGGAGAGAGGCTGCCACTGAGAAAGGTAAGGGAGTGGGAAGGCAGGGAGAGGGATGGAAAGCAACCCCACACAGTGAAGCAAAGCTAAGCATTGCAAAGGGAGCCCCCCGCCTGCTCTCAGATGGCAGTACGACGATGAGACAGTGGGCAGGGGCTCCGGCTTCTGGAACCGGAGCGTTCTGTTTGCAGTTTCAGTCTGACACTGACACCTCGACAGACTTTTGTTTTCATGTGGCATTTAGTTAACCAAAGAGAATGGGATCCTGTTAGCATGCCAATCTCTCTTTTTTTCTGCCAATCTCAAGATGGCACAGGCAGCTTCCAAACCCTCTTTAACGTGCCATCTCACATCCCCTCTCCCTCTCTCTCTCTTTTTTTTTTTAAGAAATAAATTTCTGTGGCAGCCAATTACAGCAGTTTGATGTGCATAATAATGAATCCATTGAAATTGAAATTGACACCTCAGAGAATCAGTATTAAAAACACACACAACTTAGATGAATCGAGCTCCTTTCCCCCCTTCCTCCTCCTTACAGTTTTCTATCATTTAGAACAATTTGCCATCACTTGGGTCCTGAGCAGATTGCTGAGAGCTTGGTATGTGCTGAAGACTCAGTGATTGGGACTGAAGCTTGTACAGGCTCTGTCTCCTTTCCTAAGCACAGATCAATTACAAGGCAGACAAGTCAGTGTCACATGTGATTCACAATGTCAATTTCATGCTAGTGGTAACCATTTAAGAAAGAGCTGTGGAGGTTTTACATTTGATAAGAAATCAACAGTGTTTGTGTTTGTAAAAGACCGATCACAGAGTGTGACAGCTCCAAGAGATTGCTATGGAGCATCGACTTCACGTCTGTAGTCTGTCATGGAGCCATAAGTATTTATTTCAAATGTTTTTTTTCTTTTTTTTTTTTTTTAACCAGGATGTTGAAAATAAACTGTCAGTCTCTATTTACAGCTGAACAAGTAGAAAATACGAAGGATTTTAGGTTAAATTGTCAGTTAACAGAATTCAAAATAGAAAAAAAATATGTACAGCGCTCCCTGGGTTATTACCCATTTGGAAAGGGAAAAATCATTTCTAAATTTGGAGATGCAGATGTCTCTATTTTGGGGAAATATGACCTGTATACTTAGGGGACTTTGGCTGTGTTTGTTCTCCTGAACCCCTTATCTACTTCAATGTATTATGTATAATTCCTGTAGCATGGTAGAAATAGACAATAAGGGCTAGAGGTTGATCTTAGTTTCATCATTGGGGCTGTTCCAGACTTCGGTGTAGCTGATCAGAATTCAGCTCCTGTATTTTCAGTGTGGAGCAACTAGAGTCTTTAGGAGCTAGATAATTGGAACCAGACTCTCTAAGATACCCATACCCAGGTACACTGAGACAATGTATTTACCCAGAGTAGAAGGCAAGGTATAACTTTTCATCCCAGCTTGTTGTTGATGATAATTATATTGTTGTCTCCTTCCCAGCAGAAATTTTAGAAACTTCAAAAAAAGGCAAATTTTGCACTGGTGCCAGGTGGCACTTCTGTTCGTTGCCAACGTCTGGAGGGGAAGGAAGGCTAACATGGTGAAAATGCAAGGCTGGGTGTTGGCAGGTGTGGATTCGGCATGAGTTTTCTCAGCCTTAATTTCCCTATCTCTAAAATGGGGATATGGCTGTTGTGAGGCTTAATTAATCACTAAGACTCCCCAGGTCCCCAGACAGAAGAAGTGGAAAGTATGATGATCTACTAGGCCTTTGCACAATGCCTGAGTATAAGTAGGGACAGACAAAGTTTAGTTCTTTTTTATTTTCTTAATGAATACTCATGGGCATGCATATCCAGCTATGTTTCCAGGAGCTCCAGCATATGATTAAGAGCCAGATATGAACTGAAAACAGCCTGGTGCCGCTGTTTCTGATGGATTTTTTCAATCTATTTTCCCAAACTGTTTCTGGAGTGGACATACTCAGAAATACTGCACAAAAGGTAGGCTCTAGCATGGCTATGAAATTGTGTTGACAAGGCTGCTCAGCATTATTTCATGAGAGGATGTGGAATTATAGGAAGACAGAAAAACAATATCAACACTGGGGCCAAATTTCTGCTGATATGAATCAGTGTGCCTCCATAGGCTTCACTAGCACTACACTGATATACACCAGCTCAGGAACAGGCTCTTTAATACCCATTATCGGCCGCGTTAGAGGCAGAGAAAAGCACAGGCAGGAAGGGAAATAGCAGTTCTCAGCACCTTTGGCTCATGGAGACAATGGGTTTATTCCTTGTTGTAGGACCCTGAGGGTAAATCTGGAGTAAGTCCATTGGCTTCAATAGAATTTCTTTTGATTTACACTACAACTGCTGGCCCAATCTTTGTATTTCAACCTCTATCACTGTGCACACGTTAGACATAGTGCTAGTTTCCTGTTTTACCCAGCAGTATTTTCCAGCAGTCCCGCTACTGTTGTAGGGCTACAGGGGCGTACATGTCTGTGCTTGATTTTTGTGGCACAACAAGGGCACGTATAGCACTGCAAATGTAATGTCCCTACATGGCTTGTATCTTCCTGAAAGAGAACTATGTGACTCCTGAGAGGGGTAATAGGCTATGAAGCCTTTTGCCCCCTGCTAAGCAGCTGATTCTAATTAAACTCAGCTTGATAGCAAGTGAGTCTGTCCTCCAATGGCTGCTCAATGGCTTATGTGCCATGCTTGGGTCTCAGCTGCTTCCTAGTGAACAGGTGTCATTGAAGCCACAAAGCAGAAGGTAGAGTAGGGTAGCACCTTGGAGACTAACCGGTTCAGAGAGGCATAAGCTTTCATAGGAAACAACCTTCATTGTTAGATGAAGTCACCAATACAACTGTCCCCTTGCTGGTGTTGAAGCAGAGGCCGGTGGCTGAATAGCCTGCTTTGCCTACTCTATGGGACACTTCCACCTACCTGCACCAAAACAAAGGGTTTCTTTGTTTTAATTTATGGTATTTAAGCCTCTGCTACAAGGATACTAATTTATGCCTCTTCCCCAACTACTATTAGGCTTGCCTGGGCCCCTGTAAGGGAAGACTTCAGCTCCTCTTTATCTCAGGCTAGCAAGAGAGGGTCAAAGGAGGCGAATCCTGGTTGCTTTAGTAAATCCATTTTCTAAGCAGTGATAGGGTTTTAGTTTCCCATCTGGAATCATCACTTAAACGGTGAGGCTCCTGGACCCCTGCGTTCTGTGAAATGAAGGTGTTTTTCTTTTTGTAAATATAAAATATAAAGACAGGAATCTCAAAGCTCAAGTTCCAAAGCAAGCTAGGAAATCAGAGCAAAGAATAAAACATGAATAATAGATGCAGTGTTACTCACCCCAGACGGTCAAAATTCTTGCATCAGACCCTCCAACATCACAGGATTGGGTAAGAATTGAGAGATTTTTAAAACAATATTATTTTAAAGAGTTTTTTCCCAACTTATGTCTTGGGTTTGGAGTCTTTTAGGTTGTGCTATGGGCATCTTCCTGAGGATTGGACAGGACATCTCCAGCGAGCTACTGCAGCTCAACCTAAATAGCTAAGGCTCGGCAACATCTGGGAATGTGGAAACCATGATAATTAAGGGCCTTTGCAGATTGGCTCAGAGTGGGACCTGTAGCTTACACTCCCCGGTGGGTTATGGGTACACTTGGTTCATCTTTTCCAGTTACTCTCTGCCATACTGAGATCTAGGAATATAACTTTGTGTATAAAACAGGCTGAGGCTCTCTCCCATCACATGCTTCCAAGAGACATGGCTTTAAGAAAAACACCAAATACAGCAAGACTCACAACAGAATCACGAGTGGACAACACAGCGCATAAACTAAAAGATGAGCGTGGTTCATGCTGGGACAGACAGAGAATGATTGAGGTGTACCTTTGCCAAAAGTGGTCACTGGGACAAATGCATATTGGGAAAATAGTTAATCCTATACAGAAATCTGCAATATAACAGCAACTGCAATTCAGCATTATATAATGGGAGGAGTTGTTTAACATAGTCCCCAGGTCAAAATTATTGGTACAGAATTACATCCGTGATTCTGGAAGCCAATTCGAGCACATGACAATCAATGGATCCGTATGGGATATTGGTATCAGTGAGATTTCTGTACAGATTGGATCCTAGACTATGGCCCTCCCTTTGGAAAGATATCATTTCCTCTATGCCTTTTAAATGCATGGTGGGATAACTTGTGTCTTGGCTCTGAAGCTACCCAACCAAATCCTGGTTCTCTTGACAGCTGAAGTTTTGTAGGGCTAGTAGTATTCCAGGCTAGGGTAAATCTAACAGAACTTAATGGAGAAAAATTAAATGGAAAACACTGAGAAGGGATTGGGGAGAGAAAGGGTAATTCAACTTCAACAGCAGTTTGAGTATCCTCTGTAAAATCAGATAATGATCCTGAGCTCATTTTGTAAAGTGCTTTGAGACTTATGGGTAAACACCACCATGCAAGAGCTAGACATCATTATCGCAACAGTATTGCCAGTGATAACGCATCCCAGTGCATGTGATGCTTACCGGTGCTCCCAGCTGGTCCAGCATATCCTCAGGGAACCCCCACCAGTCTGGCATGCCCACACCCTCTACTGCGGGCTGGCATTGGGGGCAGGGTGCCCTGGGTACAGAGAGGAGAGACAGCATGTGAACTCAAAAGGGACAGAGAATCTCTTCCGACTCAAACAAAACACACACGCACACTCTGTTTAATTTGTTTCAAAATAATTAGTGAGTGAATTAAGTGTTCAGGCTGCTAATGAAGGATCCAGGGCCCTGCGAGGTGCGGAGAGTCTCCTGGGAGATGCACAGCTTACTCTATCTCCATGAGCTCAGTGTTGTCAACTCTCCTAATTTCGTTATGTGTCTCGTTATTACAATTCTTCCTAAAGCCCCTGCTCCTGGGGTCACATGATGGAGAACCAATCTTGTCTTTCTGTGCGGTTACACTCAGTTTCTGGCTCCTGTGGCTGTGGGGAGCAGCTCAACAATGTGAAACCTCAGGGCTCAAAAATCAAGAGGTAAATAAAAAATGAAGGATTTTTTAAAAATCTTATAAATCTTAAGCCACTTTCCTGAATTATAGGGGTCTAAGTCCATTCATTTGAGGTTGGCAGGCCTGTGCACTTCAATGCTAGGTGAATTAACTCAGCACTTTGCAAAATATTGAGCCAACAGCACAGGTTAGAGCCAGAACAGTGCAGGCAAGTGATGTGAAAGCTTCTCTTCCCAGTTCTCCCCAGCACCTTGCTCCTGGCCTGCCAGACTGGGCAGTCCTAGCTTGGTCTTCTGCACACCCTACAAAAGTCACATCACCAAGCCCGTCCCTCTGGCGCTTTTCTGCCATGCCCACCTCGTCATGCACGTGCTCACTTGCACTTGTGAGCCACCTCCACTGCCCACACCAGCCTGACCATCCACCCGTACAGCGAGTGTCTTGTTGGGGCCAGAATTTGAGATGGTCTGTTTGCAAGCAGTGAATTTTCTCCATGTTTATCCCCTGGAGGGGTTGTTTTGTGGGTTTATTGACTAAATAAGGGTATTGATTTGTTAAGAGCTTTTCTACTTCCTTTCAATGGGAAATATTGTTATCTCTTTCCCTTCTCTGCACGAGGTGAGAAGTTTTTAGTGACACCATAAATTTCCATCTTTGCTTTTCTCTGCTCGGTAAACAAGTGTTTGCCTGCCCACAGGGGTTAATTTGGTCATGTTAAATGCTCTGAAGATCCCTCTTGGGCTTCGAGCTTGTAGACTGTTGCTCCAAGGAAAAGTTACACGCTTACTTAAGAGGTACCCTCCCCTCACACATTCTGCCTTGTTACTCTTATGCCTACCATCATTGACAAACTCCAGTGCACACAGACGGCTACAAAACCAGGCTGTTGCAATCGCTCTTGTCTTATAGCACACTTACCTCATCCTTCTTTCTTTATCCTCACTATGCACAAGAGGCTCACACTCTTCTAGGGCGTCCAGGTTCCTTGCTAAAAGAAACCTTTGTGTATGTGGTAGAAGGACCCCGAAGAGCCACTTCGGCCTGAAAAATTTGTTGGCAGCAAAAGAGGGGACACTTTTTCTCTTGCAGTCTCATGTGACTTGGAACCACAAGCATCAAGCCAGTTACATGGTCTCATGGTAACTAAAAGCCTGAATTTCCACGGCGGGGAAAAAACACAGCCCTAAAACAATAGTTTTCATGTTGCAGGGGGGTAATGCATTATAAATGCTGTTGATCTTGGTTGAAAATCACCTTTATTTGTTACCTCCAGCCTGTGAACAGTAGTAGTTACTGCTGGTCACTGTAATGCACCAACTGTAAGTGCTTATAA